GCGTCCAGATTCATACACCAGTAGGATTTGGGACTTCCTCTGGTGCTACGACGTGGACACCGACGGAAATTGCCACCACGCTAACCACCGTTTTACAGCACATACAAATCAAAAATTTCGCCGCTCTCAAGCTCTGCCTGACGGTATACTGTTCTATGATTGACACATCTCGATCGATCAATTAACTAATTAGTAGTGATTGGTTCATTGGCCTCACTCGCTACCACATGCGACCAGATTAGAATCAATGTGATACGTAAGCATCACGTTGATTTTATTTCCTGTTCTTTTCTACACCTCAGCTGGGTTGGAGGTTAGTCCACAAAGGGTTCCGCTTGGGTCCATGTCAAATTTTGTCACGGGGAAAGGCAAACAAAATGTCTATTTTTCTGGCCCAAAAAAGTTTGGTCATTGAAGAAATGATAGTTAGGAGAGAGAAGAATAAAAACTAATGTACACAGTCTCTCGTATGAAAAATATCCCATAGTATTACTGTTTCGCTGTTTCATATTATTTTTTGTAGGATAAAATATTCAACATACCAACAGATAGTCAGATACCTGCATGAGAAAGCCGACTATGAGCCCGGGGAGGGGGGAGCGATGCACTCAAGAATTTGAAGGACTTTCCACAGGTGTAAACTAAGACGGTCAACGAATGACAGAGGAATTCCAATCGATCCGTCCTGATAGAGACAGTCAAAGTCAACTACATAAATACACTGAGACTGGACGATAGATACACCCGATCGTGGATAGAAAGATATTGGATAATTCCGTTCCGGAACTGGTCCTACAAAATCAGAGTGCAGAAGGCTTTCTTTTGGGTATTACGAAACGAAACAGTGAACCCTAAAGTTTGCTAAAAACAGTGAAATTACGTAACTAACCACTGACAGTTTCTTTTTTCATTTATCTCATCGAACTTCATACATTCTTTACCTACATTTTACTCAGAGTTAATCGAATTAGCTGTCCTTTGAAGCTAGTGCCCATCCATTTAAAGTATTATCCCAGAATGATCATGTTAATATATACTACTCACCATATTCTCCAACTGGGGTTGAGAATATTCCTTTTCTTTTTCCTTAGAGAGTTGTTGTGTGAGTAACCAATTAAGAGTTCTGCTTAGTATGATTCACATAACATGACTTATCATTGTCAGTATTCACACGGTTTATCGAACCATACCGAAACTAATCGATTGATTGTTCGAATCCCTGCTGTGCGCTCAGCAAGAATTCATTAGTTTTGCGTGCCATTGTCAAACCTGCTGAGTTTTGGTGCTGGTTCGGAATTCACTCGAGCCATCTATCACCACTACATGTGGCAAGTGAACTCCATGGATCCAGAATATTCTTTTTTGAGACACCATTGTACCGGTATAAAAACGATTCTCTGTAGGTGTACCAGACAAAACATTTTCTGAATCTCTTTGCAAGATGAATCCCATTCAGGTCACAGTGAGAACATTCGACGGTCGTGAGTGTACCGTAACTGTGGAACAAGAGGGAACAATTGGCGATGTGAAGAGAGCGGTGAAAGAACGATGGCATATACCGGTGGAAAAACAAAAGCTTTTGTTACATTGCACCGTTCGGCTGGACGATCACGACACCCTGATTCAACACAAAGTTCGCAACGGTTCCGTCCTCATGATTGACTATGTGCCGGAAAGAGAGGTCAGACTGCTTCATCCAATTCCCTCGGTGTATCGAACTTATCACATGTGAAAGTTGACAAATAGATGTATTTCTTTATTTTTCTAAATCACACTTTTATCCTATCAGAAATTCTGAGTTGGGATAGAGGTGAGTAAAGACGGGTTTTTCATACAACAGTCCGTTCTCTTTTGTTTTAGTAAACGATTGAATTGTTCATAAAGTCACCACATCTGGAAGATTTCATTGGCTGTTTGTACATGTACTAGGATGATTTTGAGGATCAAATAGGCATATCAAAATATTACTCCAAAAATTTCGTCAGTTACTGTAAACGCGTGATCAACTTACTGACAATTTGCGGGAAAATACAGTTAAGCTATTTGCAAATTTGCATCGCAAAAATCCATTTGTAACAGTGTACCAAATGCGTTTATTCTATATGAATATGAATATAGCATAGCTGAAAGCCTCACAGACTTGTCCCAGCCCAGATCCGATCTGGCTGATGATTCAGCCGATGAATTATTGATCATTGAAGTGGTTCACCCGAATGCATGATAGCTATATCTTTTGTGAGTAGTCAGTTGAGCCAGTTGGGTATAAATTCAAACGCAAAGTTAATCAGTATAACAAGCTATGATCGATCAATTTTGGTGGGCAACACTACAGGTGCGGAGTCTCTCACTGAAGTCAAGCGATAACTACGGTCATTCATTCGAATTAACCAACATTGTCGATCATTGTCTCATAAAAATTGTTGAAAACACGGAGTTGGTGGTCAAGTCAAGTCTCGTTAAGCTCTATTCACCTTATTGGACGAATTTTCGGCACTTCGACAAGTCACAGTGAAGAAAAGTGTCTGGCATTGGAAAAAGAAATTATACGTTTACTAAACGAAAAACAAATGGCTATGATAAAATGCTAATGTTCAAAGGTGATTTTCCAAGTCAGTAATGATATTTGCTCCATTGACTAAGATACGAGCAAAATGAGGGGTGATGTCGTATTGATATGAGGTGATACGTGCACAAAGAATCCTAAATTTGGAAGGCGTACTTGAATGAGATAGATTTCTTGAGACGGGTACGCTGGCAGTGTGCTTCATTTGACAGTATATGACTGATAAATCTATAGCATGAATCAAATTACTTTCTCACAATAAAATTGACTAAAACGGCCTTTGGAATGCCACTGCAATGGGAGAGAAATTTAAGAGATGAGGAAAAGAGAATAGAGTCTTTCTCCTTTAGACCAGGAAAATATATGGGGGAACAGTACAACCAGTGTGGAAGAATGCAGGCGATCACAAATTTGAGAATTGCATTTTGGGGAACGCCGAGCTTTTTACGGCTATGGGTTACGGACCATTTCTAAAAGGATTGTAAATTAAGCATCATTTTTATTTAGCAAGAACTTCATGGTACCATGGTTCGCCTGGGAACATTTTATGTGCCTTGATAGAAATAATTGGTTTTAAAAGAGAGAACCGCTTCCAAGACCGTAATGGGTAACGTAAACGGTATTCAGTGGTTTGCTTTGGCCTCAGGTTTCTAGATTCGAATTCCACTAAAAACCGCAAAATGTTCTGATCAGCGGCTAACTATCAAGCATATCCTGTCACAGCATAATATTCAAGATTCAATGTATTCCACCAATCCCAGTTTCTGAGATCAGGTCACTGATTCCCACTTCCGCGGAAGATACGATTCTTGTACAACAACCACTACATCAACATGGCTACTCGTATAGGACTTTATTAACGCTATTCCGATATGATCATCTCACAGAATACCACTGTAGTATTCAGAATGTGAATTGGAGTCGAAATAGCGCGAACTCTGATTCAGACTGAAAACCCACTGAATAGCGCAAAGTCAGGTAGAACCAAGACGAGCTGTGGATAAAGTTGATTTTATTCAGAAAATCATACAAATATATATCACGAGCAACAAACAATCATTGATCCATTCTTCAATGTCCAATCAACACCGATATGGTTTATTTGTTTGCCCTCTAGCATCCAGCCGTTCCAATTGGTGCCAATTGAGACCACAGGACTGGTCGGGAAATCCGTTTCCGGATTAGCGAGCTACCTGGAAGTTGTACTGTGTTGCGTGCATACTGGTTGCACGATCACCACAATCCCCTTTGAACTGTTGCCGGAAAAGAATGGGTTAGGTCACCGGTGACGTTCTTCAAGTTTCAAAGTAGGAACTATCTGCAACTCTCTTCCATTCCAAGTTGTTTGTTCTCGAAGCACAGACTTGTTTAGTCATCGATCGATGAAGCATTGATACAAACAACTAGCTGTCCAACATGCGTGATTGAGCTTGAAAATTGGCTAGTTCATTTCATTTGTCCAACGATCGGAACCGGGATCCGATTGGATTCAATTATCCTCCTTCTTCATCCACGAGCAATCGATCTACGTGGTTCATTGCGTAATAGGGTGCAACAAAAAATAGCACAGAAACAGTCTGTAAGAACCTCGAAATTTCATGGTGATGAAAACTGACCGAGTGCCAAAATTAGTTACTCAATCTTTTCTGCATGGAAGCTGAACCTAATCACATGCTGTTCACAGTACTACAGAAGGTTTGTCAGTATGCTCAACCACCAATGGCGATGCCCCCAAATGCACATTCTTTGGAGATGATGATTTGGAAAATCGCTAACCCCGCGGGAGAAAGCATGAAGCAGACGACCGGTCTCATTCCACGCTTCCAACACGAATCCGTTCAATTATACACAAGTGAACTGCTATTATCCACACCAGTTTCACGAGTCATACATACACATACACACAAAAATGCATGCATAAATACATACATACATACATACATACATGCATACATACACACATACATACATACATACATGCATACATACATACATACATACATACATACATACATACATACATACATACATACATACATACTGACATACATACATACATACATACATACATACATACATACATACATACATACATACATACTTACATACATATATACATGCACACACACATACCCATGCACAAATAGACAGATAGATGGATAGATAGTTAGATAGATAGATAGATAGATAGATAGATAGATAGGTAGATAAGCAGGTAGACAGACAGAGCAGCAACACAGATGTTTTTTTTAATTTTTCCCACTACTATTCGATTTCAACTCGCAGCTGGCAGAACGAGCTGCGCAAATCCAATCAATTATTTGCCTAAATCTTATAAGATTAATAACCTATAGACACTGCTTTTGAGAATAAAATCTTTGAACACAGTTAATCAGTCGTAGTTTATGTTCTAAAAAATAGTTATTCGGATATAACATGGCCACCAAAAATTATCATCCCGGAAGATAAGTGTTTAAATCCTAAAACCATCACCTGACTTCCGTCATTCTCTCTGTGTTGTATGACAGCCCTTTGATTGACCCCTTTCTCCTTCCTAAAACTTAAATTGTTATGTATTCAATAACAGGAAGAAAAATGAAAAAGAGCATCAGTTTCGAATTCAGTTCAGGGAGAAATTCGTTGTCCGAAACAAAATCTACTTTTGCCGGCACATTTGACCGATCGAATCTTTCGTAAATTGGACAGAAATGTTCGTGGTGGAAATGACATAAATTTTTCACTTTGTGAATAAACAATAATCATAGTGTCTAAGGGTAACCGTGCATCGTTACACGAGTCTGTTTCCACTGTAGTGCAATTGAGCCACAATCTGAGCTGATTACAAAATAGGAATGTTTTCTATTATTTGTAGGGTATAAAAATACTCCACTTCAAGCAACCCAGTTGTATCCCAGAAGACCAGTACTGAGATGCACAAGTTGCGATGCCTGCATTGAGCTCGTAAAGATGGCTTGTGTAGTATCGCGTATGAGGAAAATGCAAAGAGAAACACAGCCTGATCAGCTACCTGATGGTTGAGTTCTGCCTTTAAGGTCCCTGATTCGATCCACAGTTTAGTTTCGCTTACTCATTGCTGATGGGAGCCAACCAGATCAAACCAGTTGTCCGGAGTGCTTCCCAGATTTTCAGTTTGTCCATCATTTGCTCTATGCATGACGAGATTCATCATATAAACAAACCAAAACCTCCCCTACCTAATGTAGTTTGGATCAAATTTGATTGTTTTTTAAGTCATTTTGATTTTCATTCACTTATTCCAGAGTTCGTGCTAACAGATATAGACAGTCTCACATGGTGAAAACTTGAAAAATCACCCAGGTAGATGTTTCAGTTTCAGTTTTTACAACCATTAATCATGCACTTTCGTGCGTCGGTTTTGGTTGCTGTCTTTTCGTGTCTCATTTGGATAAAAGAGGAGAATGAAGATTGAAAGCAAATTCAAGCGGAGGATGCAGAATTCATACAGAGTGGTGCTAACAGAATAATGAGTGCATGCCCGAGTGCCACTGTTTGTGACACCCAGCCACATCACTCAGTGTCTCTAACCATCGGTGACCATCATCCCGAGGTCCCCAGCCTAACGGGAGCCTAATGGGACCTATGTGATCTAGTCGCCTGGTTAGGGTTTCCATACCCTCATGCCAGGTTTCCGTTCGACCACCCTTGACCTTTTTCTAGACTCCTTTATTGCCTCACGCCTACTTTCCTTGGTCTTGTACTCCTAACTAAACGAAAAATATTGCGACTATTACCGATTGTTGCAGCCTTCTCCATCTCTTTACAAGTCCCTACCCACGAACTCTCGCGTTCATTCCTCAGATTCTTGATGAGCTGGCGTTTGAGGGATTTGCGGGCTTTGTCATATTTTGAATCCGAAGGAATGGCTTTGCCAGCGTCCATCAGGGTAACCGAGGTCGGGGAGATCCATCGTTTTTTATTTGATCGCATTCCAGAATTTGCCGTTGTTTTGATCGACGTTTGGATCGCTTCCTTGATTGCCGACCAGTGTTCACTGAGTGTTCACTGATGATGATTGAGCTGAGAGGCGATCTGATAGTTCCACTTCAAAGGCCGATTTGCAACCGTCGCTGATGCTGTGTTGTGGGTATCTGTTTTTGGTGGCTTTTCTGCGGTTGTTTATCAGGCGT